TGTCACTTCACTCCTCTTCGGTCCAAATATTCTCCTCAACACTCGGTTCTCAAACACCCTCAGTCTATGTTCCTCCATAATGTCAGAGACCAAGTTTCACACCCATACAGAACCACAGGCAAAATTATAGCTTTGTATATTGTAGTTTTTATGTTTTTGGACAGCAGACGAGAAGACAACAGGTTGTGATAATAATTTCAATGTACGTACCTTAACTACTATCTCGCTTCTCGTAACACGAAATAAATCGGAGCGTAAATACCTGTAATGCAACACAATGGAATATATGCCATTTGAATCACAGAGATTAGTCACACAGTACGACAATCACACATTCTTTAATACATTTTAGTAAATATACATTACACATGTAATAACAAAAACGTTACTGTACAGCTTCCTCTACGTATATACAATATTTATTATACAGTGAAATATTATGAATTTAACAACTTAGTGTAAATCACAATGTTAAAATTACTGATTCTCAGGAAACCATGGCACAGTGCGTCTTTGTGAGATGTTTACATTCCAACACGTTATTAAGATTAATCTATCTACGCGAAATATTTATAAACGTAATACCATATATATATATAAGGCAAATTAAGGCAATAATATATATATTATTGCCTTAATTTCAAGAAATTTTCTTATTAAAATACTTTAATGGCATGACATTCGAGTCAGTGGTATTGGAGGTTTCTTATGTTAGGGCCAATTCAGATACTCAAAACACTTTTCGAGTCAATAATCATATTATATGATTAAAATTGCCTTTTTAGTAAGTTGTAACTTCATATTAACAATAAAAATGTATTCTATTAATTAAAAGCAAGATATGCTCTTACCACTTACACTTTTGATTTTATAGACCAGGAGATATAAGTTTTTAATTTTGAATTATTCCTTCCGAAATTAGCTCGTAGGCCGTGTGTAACCTAGAAATCACTGTCTTAAATTATTTTAAAATTATTAATACAATATACATTAATGTATATTCATACATTATTATTAAACAACAGTAAATGTATTAATAGTGTAACTTATCTAATTAATTATCACAATTTTATGTCGATGTTCAGCGAAGTTAGTGCCAACTTTAGCCTGTCATATGTTCAGCGCAACGGATCCTCACGGCGGTTAATCTCGGTTTTCTAGACCGGAGCCGCTATTTCCTTGAAACACCTCCTCAATTACTCTCACGGTGCTGAGTGAACCCATTTCCAGACTCACTACTTCTCAGAAAATCTGATAGCGCTGTGAATTCAACCCGGGACCTCTAGATCTGTAGCCAGGAACTCTAACCACTAGACCACAGAGGTTCCAAGTGGCGGTCGCTCGGTCGGTATAGTTCGCTTGAGGACTACAGGCCACGGAGTTATATCGTTGTTCATTTGATACATTATCATGTCTGATATATGAGATGTCGAATCTTTTACACATTTCACACAGAGTTCTAGGAACAAAGACAATTAAGAGTAGCAAATCAATCACAGAGACAGATAAATCAATTAAATAAAATATAATTTTCATCGATAAATATTTAGACGAATTATTATTATACCTGAAATTAAACAGTAATATGTTGAATATCCAGATAACCTGAACACTGGATGTATTAAAACTTTAGAAAAACGTAACATAAGAAACACTCTCTGTCAATATAAAAGATTGTGCAGTTCATCTCCCAACAGTTGTTCAATATGCTGACCGCCCTGTAATTTCCTTACTCCTACATTCATTTTCTATATGTACCGTAATATAACACTTGGTACCTTACACCATACATCACTGTTTTACATGTAAGAAAATACAAATCGAATTTCTTTACGTAATAAAAAACATAAATATATTAAATGAGAGGTAACTCACATCATAGGCCAGGACCCTTAACCTCTTCTTCAGAAGCTGGTAGCAGCTCGGATGACCTAGCAATCCCCAAACTTCTGCTGAATCCGAAGAATTGTCAATGTCCTGAAATATTTTCCGAAAGGTAGGCAAGAAAATAAAGCAAACTCCGACGTACACATATCTGTGAAAGCTTTCATTTCGTAGTAAAAGGTATCCCTGTAACAGGCCATGGAGGCCCATGGGAGTCTGAGAGGTCGAGGCTCCCACACTTTCTAGATAGTCGGCTCATAGATGGCGGTAAGGTTGTCAGCCTTACGTGCTAGCCGCTTTTTTACCCCCTAGGAAAATTCGGGGTAATCATTCCTGTTAGAGGCTGAGTCGACCCCAGGGCCATAATGCGGCTGGAATGATTAGGTCAATGGAAAAATCCAATGACCTCATTCAACCCTTCTAGGGTAACTATAGCTATGGAAACTTTTCCTTTTATTTGCTAGAGCGACGTTACTTTTGACATCACCCGAAAATGATAAATTTCATTGAGATAGGACGAACAAGGAAGCCATGAAGTCTGCCCTCCTCCAAGAGTCCGTTAACTGGGAAAAGGGACATTCAGTGGCTGCCTCACAAGATCGCATCCTGCTGGAAGATGATCTCGCTGGTTCCCCGGGGTAAGCACCTGATGTGTGGTTTTCTGCGGTGAATGTCCGAGACATCACACTTACGTTTGTGAGTGCACAACTTAGGAGTATCTGTTTCGTGTTCTAAGTATTCGCTGGCTGGACTAGACCCAAAATTCGCCCATTTACAGCGATATCGAGTACATCTATAATGCAATGAATCAATGACTGCCACAGACATTTTGAAATTCTCTATATAGGTATACAGAGTATCAGTGTATTGCTATTTTATTAAAATGTTTTCTGAATGTATGTACATAACTGGACGTACCGAATTGAGCGAGGAAAAGCAGATGGCCTTATTTCTGATCACTCAGAAGGAGTGAAAATCTGAACTGAAATTTCAGAACTACGAATTACGTTTCAGAATACAATTCAGGCCTCGGCTTTACGTGTACCCCGATCCTAGTTCTAAGTGGCAACAACAGATGACTCAGTGTCGTTCATTCGAATCTCTATACATCACACTCTTCATATGAGAAAGAATTCAGGTCCCACCCAACTTCCACAGCGCGGGAAATCTTTTGGGGGTGTCGGCACATCGTTGGGTCCTCCCACGTGAAATATAACGTCGAATCCATTTTCCCAGTTCGAGACGTGCTGATCGTGTAGCAGCCAATATCCTGTAAGACAGATAATGCAATTATTTATTTGAATTAGTTAAACAATTACATCCGAAATATTAAACAACTATAGCTACATTATCATCAAGTGAAATGACGCGATCAGACCTCGGCCCTGACACTGCTAGTCTGACTAATACTGACCGTGGTTTTCATCATTCTCTTCATCTGATTTCCAATATAGTACCTCGGTTAGGTAACAGCCACTTCCTGTAAAATTGCTTGCAAATCATGAATCGTAAATCGTCTTATAGTTTGAAGGTATATAGTCCGAGATATCGATAGCGTTGTAAAGCGAACCATAAATCTCTAGGACAGTGGCTTAAAATAGTCCACGGTCGCTCCTTCTCACATTGCTTCGCACTCATCTCACACCCCCTCCCTCTCATTAAACGGTACGTAAATCCTATACACGCGATTTCCATAACAGAATTGTGTATGTCACATTTGAATGTTTACAGGAATGCAGCAAAATAAACTGTGACTTAGTTAGTTAGTTATTGGAGAGGGTGGGTTTCCCCATGCACTGAGACCAGTATTGGTCCATTGTGCTTCCCTCTATGATATTCTACCAGTCTCTATATCCTACCGATATTGGTGCGTACCATCAGTCCCGACCGAGCCAGCGAGTTCGGCCTCTGCTGGCTTGGCGGTATCTATAATGCTTCCCCCATCTATCAGAGGCGTTAGAGACTACTGTTGGGCGGGAAATGTCCTTGAATTTAGCTCAGTGACCACCTTTGGAGATATGAGGTTCTTTTACGTGCCGTAAAGCTACGACACGGGACCCACGGCTTAAAGTCCCTCCCGGAGGACTTGTTCCCTGAATTTTTCCGCCCTTAAAAATTCCACGACCTCCGCCGGGTTTGAACCCGCGTTACCTCTAGACTACGGAGGCCGCTAAACTGTTACTTACGAAAGCACAATATATTTTTATTTATTGCTTTGGGTGTATTAAGTTTATGTGAGAGCCACTTTTAGCTTGGCATATATTTAACCCCTGACACAGCTGTTGTTATGTGTCTTGCGCAGAATCCCTTCATTACGTCAGCGCAATTCAAGCGATCTCCGACTTTCCGACTAAAATGTTCTATGTATATCCCACCTACACAATACGTTCTGCATATATACACCCCCAATGTGAAGCCGGATCTGGAAAAGGGTTCAGTCAATTTTTTTCCTCTCGCTCCCACTTTGGAGCGCAAGGCTGATTTCTCAGTTTCACTGATAATTTTTACAGACTGTAGAACTCCTTGGACTGGTGATCAGCTCATCGCAAGGCCTCTACCTAAACACGGGACAACACAAACATAGAATAAACACATACACATACCAAACATCCATGCCCTGATTGGGATTCGAACCCACGATCCCGGCTTCCGAGCTAGCGAGACAGTTCATGCTCTAGGCCGCTCTGCTACGGTGACCGGCTTCTTTCACTTAAACACAGTAAAAAGAATGTAAGTAATCTAAGATGAAAGGCTTGTCAGACTCAATCTGGATTTCGGGCTCAGCCCATTCCATTTTACCGGTTCACTTATTTGATAATGTGATAATTCGTTCGCAGCGCTATTCCTCTAACGTTGGACGGGGCCCTGAAAGGAAACTTTAAAGGGTTCATTAGACACTAAATGTTTAAATCAACATGAGAACGGTACAAGTTGCCTCAAGTAGTAAATCTTCGAATGCACGTCGAAACGTCGTCTAACCTGATTGAAGTTATTCGTGATTATCCTCGGTCCATCCGGGAAAATTCCGAAAATGTGTTTCAAATTATATAGTGTCTGTTCCTACCTGTCCTTCCCAATTCATTACTCACGAGTCGTCCTACAGTTCGACTCTATAAAGGCTGAACTAGTCACAGCTGTAAATTAATAAAATATATTTGTGCCCACCTAAATCCTATCAATTAAAAAATTTTCGCTAGTTTTTCTATCCAGGTAAACAAGAAAACTATCCCTGTAACAGGCCGTGGAGGCCATAGGCTTTTGCGAAGTAGAGGCTCCCATATTTTCGAGACAATCGGCTCACAGATGGAGGTGAGGTTGTTAGCCTTACACGCCGGCCGCTCTTTACCCCTAGGAAGAATTCTGGTACTCATTTCTGTTAGAGGCTGAGTTAACATCAGGGCCACAGTCCGGCTGGAAAGATTAGGTCAACTGAAAAATCCAATGACCTAGTCGGGAATCGAACCGGCGACCTTTCGACTTGTAGATTAGTGCCATAACCAACTACGGCCAATCTGAAATCCAGATTTTCCGCAATTCCGTATCATCGTAACAGTTTTCAAGTTTAAGTTCATGACCATAGAGAAATAATGATTGAAGAAACGGAAGTAAAGAGTTAGTCATGTGCCATGCTTAAATGTAATCGTAAAAACAGACTGACAAAGAAAACAGAAAGGAACGACAATGATAATATTAACATATAAAGATAACAGAAATTTTAGCTGAAAAAACACCTGAAATTTCTCCATCGTGGCAAATTGATGACCTATATTTCTGCACACCTGTATAATGACTTTAATATATTATAGAAATTCTTTTGGATTCAATTTTATCTCGGCGTAATTTAAAGATAGAATATTTCTCTGAAAGTAGAAGTTAAGAATAATTAAATAGATCAGACAGCACTGGAATTCACAATTCAGCACTCTGGACTACATGCACCGAGTCATAATAAAATTACAACCTTCTATACCTCAGACACATCACAAGGCATCTGACACACTTCGCTTCTGTTAGATTTTTTCAATGATTGTCGCCACTATGTCTGCCTATGCCCATGTGAGTCTGGCCCCAATAATAACTTCGGGACCAGCTGATCAACTTTGATTATCTGACAAACAAGCCACCAAGCAGCAACACATGGTAAATACAAAAGTAAGAAGGTGAAGTTGTCCCTCTGTTTAATTAATTAAGCACTACTCCATGAAGGCGTATGGGAGAGTATATATATAGATCCATATTTTCTTGATCTCGTCACTAGCTAGAAGCGAGTGGTTAGCTTCACACTCCGGCCGCTTTAACCTCGGGGAAATAGCCCCCGGTACCCATTGGATAGGAGGCTTGGTGGGCCTCCTAGCCGGTATGGATGATATGAAGAAATGAAAATTCTTGCTTCCACCGGGACTAGAACTCCGACACCTCTGTCGTCCAGCCCGTAGCCAGTAGCTATACCGACTCGCAACTATTAAGGATTTATTTCTCACGTTAGCTTAGGTATTGTATCTGTAATATTAGTTGAAGTTACTACAAACTCTTCAATTTCTAAATAAGTTTGTAATTGTTGGATCTGATTTTCTTGTGGCGGCGACTATGAGGAGTAGTAACTTCTCGAATGTGATACTATATAACCCGACTACACGGTGTCACATCTCTTGAGATTTATAATTGTACGTTCTTCTGACAATAAGTCCCCTTACCTGGATTGTCTGCCTTGAAGCGAAGGACAGATACCCCCTTGTGGGGCACAGTAACTGTGTCCTTAAGTACGGGGTTGACTAGATTTCTGGTTACAAGCGAGCCCTCACTGTCAAGCTGCTGTATACGTGGCAGATCGGTGGGTCCCTCCAACTGCGCGACACCTACCACGTAGAAACTGTACCCATGCAGATGCAACACGTGGCTGGCATCGCTCCCACCCCCACCTGTCAAACAAACGGTACGTAAGCTCTTTCACTTGTCTTACGTCATACATATCGACCATTCCGGTCTCGTCCTCTTCGCAGGAAGGTTCCGACAGCGGTCATCTATGCAGCATAGCGCTTCCTTTCACCCATGGGCATGAAACTTTGTCTCTGGCAACAAGGGAAGAACATAGACGGAAGGTATTTTACGTAGAACAGGGTGCTAAGGAGAATATTCGGGGCTAAGAGGGAAGAAAAGATAGGAATGAGGAGCTTCATACGCTGTACGCGTCGCCAAATATAATTTGAATGATCAAAGCATTGAGAATGAGATGGACAAGGCATGTAAGATGCATGGAGGAGAAAGCCAAAAGGAAGAGAACGCTAGGAAGATAATATTAAGATGGATGTTAGAGAAACAGGATGGAGTGGTATGGACTGCATCAATCTGACTCAAGATATGAGTAGAGGGCTCTGTGAACACGGGTTTCATACGATTTGTGGGATTCTTGAGAAGCTGAGCGGTAAGTGGCTTCTCGAGAAGAACTAAACCCCATGGGATTATGAACATTGGTATACAGGTTGAGTGACTTTGGACGCCCGCCCCCTCCTATGAAGGTAACTACTTCTATAACTATGAACATGGACAGTTAGGCTTACTTCTTAAATAACAAATATACTGTGCCAACAAGAATGTCTTCTGACCAATATCGAGATATTTGTTTTAGCAATCACCGCATTAATTTGTAAGATTTGAGGTTTTCACGGCGGTGACTATGAAGAAAGCAGTCTTCTGGGATGTGGCATGGTGTAGATATGGTGTTAACCGACGTTTCGGAGGAACGTATTGCAGACACGAGTCTGCTTGTACCGGTTCTCACGGTCTCTTCGCTTGCGGATTTCTTATTTTTCCTTATACCCTGAAGATGGAAGCAATACGTTCCTCCGAAACGTCGGTTAACACCACATCTACACGGTGCCACATCCCAGAAGACTGCTTTCTTCACTGCATTAATTTTACACAACCTGAATATACATAACAAATAGTATTCTTATTGTTTACTCAAAGATAACCCCATAGGCCTAATCAATATCTATGAGTTATGGTGCTTATTTACCCACTTCAAGAGCAGGCATATTAGTTTACCAGAAACAAAACATAACTTTCAGTTTCCGAAAATAAAGTTGCAAGCATGCATTTCCTACAATCAGAACATATGCTGGCCTGTTTTCGTCATTTTTTAAGGAAATGTAGTTTCAGATTTCTTTGAAGCCTGTATAATTTTCAGTCTGCTAACATTTTAACCAGTAAGCAGATCCTCATGAAAAGTGTGCATTTTCACCGTAACACAAGGATTCTGGTATGTTTTGGTACGTGTCAGTTTCTCCGCCATGATACCAGAGTGCGCTGCCAACAGAATACTGATATAGTTCAATCCTACTTGCATTGTTTCTTTATTCCATTTCGCTGTGAATTCTACTTATTTCACTACGATGATCACATGAAATGAAACATTTCACTGAAATTAATACCGCTGGGAGGTCACGATATTCTGGGCAAGTAAAAAGGGCAAGGTAGACAAGAAATGCCTATAGAATTTTTGTAAAGAGGAGTATTTGGAAAAGTACAGTTGGAAAACTGAGCAGGAGATGTAAGAGGAGGCCTAAAAATTGTGTAATTTCGATATTAAGGAGTTAGATAATGAGGATGGTAGGTGGACTGAAGTGGCTCAGGATCATGTCCCATAGCAGGCTTCGGCAATGCATATTAACACTTTCTTAATCTCTTGTTGTGTTACCGTACCGCTGGTTGTTGTCCTTGAATGAATGAATGTATAAGGGATTGGCCTTGACCGGTACCTGCACCACTGCCACTTGTTGTCTGTTACCTTGGTCCACAAGGATGAGCTCGACTGTGCCTCTCAGTGGCAGGTCGATGACATGTACGCAATCGCAAATCGGTTGGCTCTGGCATCGGAGCGGCAGTGTCTCTTTCCGACACATGAGATCATGATCCACGTCCTCTGCCTGGGTCAGCAGGGGTGACGATGGAAAGATGAAGGTGAAGTTGTTGAGCTGAGGGACGAACACATGGGCCACCCTGCTGACTCCTGTCGAACAGGAAGGAAGGTTAAACGCTTGCGCACGTTTCAGAATGATCCATTAGCTACCCTTATATTACGGTGTGAACAAATTTGGATAAATCTCAGTCTCTACTTGTATATTAAAAGCTAAGGACCAAGATCTGAAACCCATGCCAAATCAAAATATGCTAAGTGATTCAGGAGAGGAAACATACAAACAGATCCTTCCCACTAAAGGCTATTTAATACCGCTATTTCCACTGTGTATAACGAAACGGGGAAATTTATGGGAATGGTAGGAAAATTCGAAGGGGGCGGAGGGGTTGGTGTTGATAATGTGAGTTCTGAGCAAGAATAATGTAATATTTATGATACGACTGCGTCAGTTGGCTTATTTACATCCGCAATTTACTTTCTAAACAAGGGATTCCTTGTAATAGACTAAGAAATGTGTTCTTAAACACAACGCTTTATACATGTATTCTGAGTAGACACATTCAGAAACCATTGAAAGGAGTTGAGGAGATACGAATTCATGTTGGTATTAAAAAGTAAAGCTATCCCTGTAACAGGTCGTGAAGGCCCATAGGGTTGTGAGACGTTGAGTGTCCCACATTATCTAAACAATCGGCTCAAAGATGGCGGTAAGGTTGTCAGTCTTACGCGCCGGCCGCGCTTTACTCCACAGGAAAATGATTTAATTAATTCCTGGTACTCATTTCTGTTAGAGGCTGAGTCGACCCCAGGGCCATAGTGCGGCCGGAAGGATTAGGTAAATTTAAAAATATCCAATGATCTCATCGGGAGTTGAACCCGCTACCTTCCGGCTTGTAACATAGTGCCTCACCCAACTTCGCTACCGCGTGCCCCCTTCATGTTGGTATTACCAAATAAAATGTAATAATCCTGAGTGAAGAGTGGGGTAGGTGAGCTACCACCTCAGAAGTTCGTTCGACTGCTATGTTGGTATTATTAAAGGTCGGCTATTAAAAACTGCAGAGGTGGAGTAGCTTCTAGAAGCGCATTTCACATGCCAAGACACATAAGACTTTGTTAAACGGTACCCGTTTTCTGCAAAGGATGCATGTCGGACATGAAATCTCTCTTCCACTCTTAACAAGTTTATAAATCTGCCGTTAGGCGCCCTTCTGTTTTATGTTTCACCCAACACTCTGTTTTCCGCCCTTCTCTACTGAGAAAGTGTGATTTTATAGGATTGTGTGGTTCTCCTTCATGATGGTCGCATGTCGGTGGAAATAATTCATACGAGTGTAGTGTTTACAGGAGCATAGTGGCCTTGTGAACGATGACATAACTAAATGTGTTGACGAGAAAAGGGCGGGAAAATATAATATTACGTTGAAATATTGTTTCGTTTTGTTTCTGTTATAAATAAACAGTATTGAAATAATTTTCTTTGTTTACTTATCTCGAAAATGATAAAATTACTGCATTATGTGATATTGAGGTTTGAGAAGGTTACGAGAGATCTATGTAAAAGGTAAGGTATAGTTGTCCCCGTGCTCAACGAATTAAGCATTACGCCATGAAGGTGTATGGGAGAGTGAATATATAGATCCACATAACAGAGATCTACGTGTTAGGTTTAAAGAGGACGCGTCTTCATGGCACAATATTTTCACGTTTCTCTCTCTCTCTCTCTGACTGAACAAATCCTGTGTTTAATTTCTATGCAATCGGTAATATTTGGACATAAACCCTTTCTCTCCTCACTTGCCTTGGCGCGGATAACTAGCAGGGTTCTCTCCAGAGAATTGTTTGAAACCAAACGCCAGGTACAGGGTGATATCCACTTTCTTTTCCATCAATTCGTGCCGCATCTTGTGAAGGGATTTTATATCTGGAAGACACACAATGCCTCCTTTCTCCTCTGGCGTGGTGCATTTGCCGGTAACGGTATTGAGAAGCTGAAAAGCGAAACAGACAACTGCCATATTGCCAGTAACCTTCCAGCTGATTCATTCTGGATCAATGAGCATCACTATTTTAAATAAAATATTTCAACGTAGAGTTGCTAGATACATAAACTGCTCAAATTACAACTTTTGAATGGAGTTCGTCCAAAGCGTCGATATCTTTTACTATTTCGACAAGACGTTAAAAATAAAAGGTCTCTTTAAAAATATAAGTCACTCAGGTAGTCAAGAAATTATTCATCCTTCATGCAATTCATATTTTCATTACTGTGATCACAAAATCCTGTTCCTGGGCCATGTTTTGAGTCAGTCTAATCCAATTCATACTCAGTTCATTTATATATTAAGTCCAGCAAGTTTTTTTTTTTTTCAAGTGTATGAGCTCTCCTTCATGTGGATATCTCTACATGATTTTTAGGAAGATAAATAATAATAATTATTTTGGAAGCAACATGAAACTGTCCTTTGAGAGTGAGAAAAATGAGAGAAATACACAAATAACTTTAGGAAAAGGGTTACTGACAATAAAAAATACATAATACATACATTATAAAGGTTACTGTAACTTTCAGTGTGTTTAATTCTATTTTTCTCCACTAAAATTACAAAATGTCACTTGTACTTAAGAAGCAAATGAAACTCGGAGACTACGCAGTACAATATTATAAGGAAGTGAAGTCCTGTATGGACCAACAAACCCATACGGATGTAAGGATATGATATGTTTTAAAATTCCATTTTAATCCTAACTTTATAAAATGTAATATTTTAAAATATTTATGAAATATTGCCAGGTTTTATTTTTTCTATAATTTGCAGTTCAGCTTTCAAGCATCCCCAATGGAACCGGAACATGAGTTCACACCCTTCCACATGTGAACAGCGGCCAGAGGGAACGCAGAAGAATCTTTTTGCCTGTCTAGAGACCGTTTTGTAAAAACATCAGTTTCCGGTTCTCTTGTTGTTGTGTTACAAACAGGACTCATGAGAAGAAATAACTAGAATTACAATTAACTACGCGATCTAGTTTCGAAAACTGTTTAATCTGATGTGAGCGCTGCAGCTGCAAATTACACAAGAGTGGAAGTTCTTCTAACCATGTACTCTGCTGGAATTGTAATCTTCAGTAGCTTAGCGAGGCTCCTTGAAGCCCCGCCTAAGCATAAATATTTGGGCCTTCCTACACGAGTATGCTCCACGCCCACGTACACTGACACTACCGAACGCCAAATGTAAACAAGCCATATACTTATAATCCGTGACCTGCAGTCCGAGAGTGAACCATACCGACCGAGCGACCGCCGCTTTTCAGCGTACTTAGTGCCAACTTTAGCGGATAGAAGGTGTCGCGTGGTCAGCGCAACGAATCCCCACGGCCGTTAATCTCGGTTTTCTAGACCGGAGCCGCTACTTTTCCATTCAAGAAGAGCCTCAATTATGCTCACGACGCTGAGTGGACCCCGTTCCAGGCCCACTGTTTCTCAGAGAATCTGGCAGCTCCGGGAATCAGACTCGGGACCTCTGGATTTGTAGCCAGGAACTCTGACCACTAGACCATAACAAGCCATAGGGGCTCGAAAGTACTTATTAGTAATTTAAATCACAAAAATTGTTGTTGCTGGATCTGCTCCTATCTCTCTAAGATCCATTTTACTATTGTACACCCACATACGTCTTGGTCTTCTCAGTAGTCTCTTTTCTTCTGGCTTTCCCACAAATATCCTACAAGCATTCCTCCTCTCTCTCATTCGTGCTACATGCCATGCCCGTCTCATCCTCCTGGAGTTTCAGTAAATATTTTATAAATATATGGTCAAGAATTGTAAGAAAATAGACTTCAGAACTTTCAGTAAATTTGTTGGAAGGCCGCGTCATAGCTCGAGCGGTTAGTCGCTGGCTTCCCATCGTAGCGATCCGGGTTCGATTCCGGGTCTGGTCAAGTGAGATTTGTGGTGGACAAAGTGGGGCTGGGGCGGGTTTTCTCCGAGTACTTCGGTTTCCTCTACCAATCTTCATTCCACTAAATTCTCTATCATCATAATCTCCCGGGGCAGGCTACAATAGGCCAATCAGTGGCCGCCGTGCCGAGTNCAGCATGTCACAATATATATATATATACTTTTTTTTTCACTGCTCCAGTAACCTCAGAACTCAACATCACACGCTCATGTTCCTCTGAAACAAACAGCCAACCAATCGCCTTCACCTGTTGTTGAGGGAAGGCCACATTTTTGGCAATAAAAGTGGATAATGCATAATAAAATGCTCCTTCGCGCAGAGAACTTACGGTCAAGAAACAATAAATGATCAATAAATACGTGTAGATCCCTATGTTGAAACATCCATTGTAATATCCGCATTTTATGCAGTGTCGTAATCTCCCCCCCCCCTCCAACACTAAGATGTCAATGGAAGAGTTCTATTTCCAATAGCTTGAAGCCTTTCGAAACAATGTTATGACATCCGACCCACTGAAAGTGCTTCCAAAATCCAATATATTCAGCAATGTTTCGTGACATGGTAGAGACGGTGAAGCGTGTGCATAAAGTCAGAAGGTGGCACACTGAAGGTTGGAGGCCTACACATTCCTTTTGCGGGATTCATCTGGTTGTTCGGATTTAGGACCCCGTTTATCTCATGCCGGTATGTAACCCAAGAATCAATCAACATAGTAGGCTGCACTGGATTTGTTCATATATGTTATATATACAAATTATACATGATTTTAAAATATAATAGTAAAAATACTGCAGTTTATCGATCTATTAAGTCTTACTTTAAGAGAGTGACTAGTAACGAATTTTAGGCGTATTAGGTTTTAGAATTAACTCTTAAATATTAATATTTATTTTGTTCCGTAAGAGTTTATGGACAGATAATCAGTGCAATCCACGATAATGTAACATACAAATGGATTCCAAACAGCAATTTAAGTGTCGTATCCGTGAAAGATAGTATGCAGCTGCTGTAAAACAAATCTCATACAAGCATGCCAATCTTTTATTTGTCTTTAAGCACAGACAAACAGTCATGCCAATCTCGTATTTGTTCCTAAGCACAAATAATGTAGTAACCCGAAACTCACTGTCGAACTGCCTGATCCCAGTTCAAGGCTTGATTCTGTCGGAGAAATTGGCTCAGAGCCTTCAGGAGCCCCCTCGTATCGAAGTATGGCTGCCCCCCTAACGGTCGAAGAGTCACAATCTTCAGCAGCGCTGACATGAAGCCAGTAATTTGAGACGGGCTGGTCAGCGGTCAGCACAAAGTCCGTTCTTTCGCCTGCAAGAAAAGCAGCAACAGGAGAAAAGCAGCTTCAAACTAAATTTACCCATCTCCTGTAACAGTATTTGCATTATTCTTTATTTCTTCTCCAGGTAATTAGGTGATTTGTCAAATTTCTTTCGAATTTTGTCCCCAAACACAACTAAATCAGTCCATAGAGCAGAATCCATATTGGAAACAGCTCAGCTGGTCAAGAAATCTCTAGAATTTAATGGAGTTCAGTGGCTAATTATAGGCTTCACACGAGGTTGACAATGGATTCTATTCATATACAGATTAATCCAGTCCATCCTAGGTACTACAAGACCAGTTTTCACGTTATTTTCTCAACTATGTCTAAATTTCCCCCTCACTGGTGTCTCCAACTTATCGTGGTGAGGGGGTTTGAGTATGCCAAGGACCCTGAGAGCTATACCAGCGGTAGCGTAGCTACTGGCAGGGCCTCCCTTGCTGGACAGGTCAAAGGGTAGGCATCAGACGAAGAGAGACACCAAAAACCAAAAACTGATGCCGGAAGCAGCGTCGTCAGCAACGACTTGAAGCACAGAGCAAATGATGCTCGAGATGGTTCANCATCAGCAGCGACTTGAAGCACAGAGCAAATGATGCTCGAGATGGTTCAAGTTCGTATAGCAACAGGCGTGACCAGAGTGGTTTGAACGGCTGTTGTACTGCGATGTGGAAAGCAAATGGAAAAACTACCACATTATCACTTTCCCTGGATAGTCTTTTTCCAAAAACAGAAGATCACATTAAGTGGAGGAACAGTTTTGGAAGAGACTGTGGACCTGTCGTCTGACAGATTACTGATGAATGAATGAATCTCTACGGCTTCTTCTTTCCTTCAGATTTTTCAAGCAACATTCTTTGCGCATTTTTCATCATCCACATACGTGTTATGTCCCGCCCATTTCCTCCTCCTTGATGTAATCACTCAAATCAATAGCACAATTTATGAAGTCCCTCATGTAATTTTGCACAACTTCCTGTTACATCACCTCGCCTTGGTTCAGATATTGTCTTCAGCAAGGACTCTGACCTCAAACACCTACTGCAGAAGAATCCTTCCAAATCTGAGGCCCTTTGAGACATTTCGCAACATGCAAAGTTTTGTGCAATGATGCAGTGTTACTCTCCTACCCAAACTTAAAGCTGGAATACCCCCTTTCATATATCCGCCACTGATAATTGAACATGTTCGCAGCTGCGCTCCACGTCTGGAGACCGAACCTGACAACACGCAGTGTCGTGGAGTTACAAGCAGGCAACTTGGATTGTACAATTAGATGCTGACCTGCCGCCATAACAACGGATGTGATCTCTCGCGGGGTTATGGGGTTGCCATCCAGCGAGATGACGCGTAACGTGTGGCTGGCAACACTCACAGTGACAGGGCAAGCTCTGTCGCCCCCAGCGTATGCCACACGAAACCTGTACCTGTTGCCTGGAGACACGGTGAAAGTGGACAGCGGTGCATCCAAGTGTTCCGATCCGTCTAGCTGCTGCAACAGAAAGGCACAGTCTCTTTGCCATATCATCACTGTGGTCTATTGACACTTGTGGCGGGAAAATAGAAGTATTTTGCGGAAGCAATGCTTTTCGTATTCGAATCTGAGACTGGAGACCGGCTATTCTGACTGAGGCTTACGTGATTATCCTCACTCACTTCAAATATTTGCTGGGATAATATCTCAAGATATATCATTACTAGGACCGGTCACGGTAGCCGAGCGGTGTAAGGCATTCACTGTCTTCGCTCGCTCGGAAGCCGGGATCGTGGGTTCCAATCCCACTCAAGGCATGGATGTTTGTGTGCTATTTTCTGTATTTGTATACAGACAGAGGCCTTGCGACGAGCTGATCACTCGCCCAAGGAATCATACCGTATGTGTAAGATCTAGAAAAACCAAAGTGAACGGAGAAATTCATGGAAGCAGGCCTAGACCCACTGGGGCTGTAGTGCCAAGGAAAAAAATAACACTCCTAGGTCCTGTCATAATTTTCCTGATTCATAATTCATATAATTATTCCACTATTCAAAGCTACGTAATATAACTACATGAAGCAGAATTATCTGACGGTCGTGTAGATGCAGATTCTAAAGGGTTCTGACAATGGTGGATACCCCATAGAATTACTAGGTTTTTGGACTTTTTCCATCATCCGTAATTTTAGGAAATAGAGAACACGACGTTTCGGAAACTGGATCTGTTTCCGTCTTCAGGTGAGAAAGGAAGAAACCTACTTAGTTGGGCCCCTTAGAAAGAGCTGATCTCAATCACTGGACAACGCCTGTCAGGTTAGCTCTTCCATCCTGTCTTCCTCACCTGAAGACGAAAAGAGATCCAGTTTCCGAAAAGTCGTGTTTTCTATTTCCTAGAATTATAGACGATGGAAAAAGTCCAAAAACCCATAATTCTGAGGGTTTTGTAGATACCCGTCAAGTACTCCGCATGTCATGAAACTCTCAGAATGATAACCTCTGTCACCACTATTCCTTACACTGAGCCAGACAAATTACTTGCATACTCCATCAGGTCAGTCTCAATATTATCATCCAGCCAGTGCCTAGACTTCAAGTATTCTATAACCTTCAGATTTTCCAGCTACTATTTTGTATACATTTCTCGTCTTCCCCATGCACACTGCATGTCTTGCCATAATCCCCTTACAAAATTCAGTACATATTAAGAATTATTCATCATTGCGCAGGATTTAAACCCTGCCAAACTTTCAAAGAGTTTTCGCTGTTTTATGTTATTATTTTGTCCAGCATTCTAATGAAAATACATGAAAATGTACATACTAGTCTGTATTCATTAAACATACTTCGGACGGTGCTGAACATGAATGTGGCGTAACAAACCAACACCATGGCATTATTAACAACGTCTCTGGCAGAGCCTCTTACCTTTGCTTGGGAGCGACCATTGATCAGAAGAGATGCAGAGCTAGTGCCAGGGTTGGACTCCAGGAGCCGCTGGATCGCGAACCCATGGCTCCATTCATTGATCACGATCACGTGATTCGGGTCATCAACATCGTACTCCTTGAAGTGAGGATCTCGTCCTGCTGACTGTCGGACAATCAGGGCGCCGAATATCCCATCCGTAAGCTGAACTCCTGATAAAGTGGGAGGTTTTGGAATGGGAACAACTGACCTTAATTTATCGCAGAGTTTCAGTGATAAGTTCTACTCATAACCTGATAATTTATAAGAAAAGATGGTGTTAACATTTCATATTTGTGTTTGCCCGTGTGTGACCCTATAAATTAGTAGCCCTTTGCCCGGCTTTCTCCTAAAATAGCCAGTACTGAAACAATGAAATTGCTTGCATCGTCCATAACGTCTCCTTGCACTTCGTCTTCAAACTGACACATGAATGAACCACTAAAACAGGGAAAGATTGAATTACTCGTACTTCCTAATTATGTTCAGAAAACAAAAGTCTGTGACCTCGCATTTTTCTATCATTTAACGTCACAATGGCGTGTAATCGTAGTGTCCATAAGCATGAAGTAGATTCTTTTATACTGTAACGTATATTGTTGCTTAGCGACGAAACAGTAGTATATATAGATGGCTCTATATATTATATGTACATTATATTACCCCCTGGCCGCCTCTGTGGTCTAGTGGTCAGAGTTCCTGGCTACAGATCCAGAGATCCGGGTTCGATTCCCAGCGTTACCAGAATTTCTGAGTAGTGGGTCTGGAACGGGGTCCACTCAGCCTCGTGAGGATAATTGAGGAGCTGTTTCAAGGAAATCACGGCTCCGGTCTAGAAAACCGAAAATTAACGGCCTGGGTTATTCTTTGCGCTGACCACACGACACCCTCTATCCGCTAAATATGGAACTAACTTCACCAACAAGCGGCGGTCGCTCGGTCGGTATAATTCGCTTGCGGACTTAAACCAATGAGTTTTTTTCTATATATTACCTCCTTGCAAACACCTGTGATGACGAAGTAAACGGGAGACATAATGCATTTATATTACAGATAGGTAAAAGCAGATCGCTGAAGATATCTTGGAAATAGAAACGTATAAGACAATAAATGCCGGTCACGGTAGCCGAGAGGTCTAAGGCATGTACTGTCTTCGCTCGTTCGGAAGCCGAGATCGTGGGTTCGAATCCTACTCAAGGCATGGATGGTAAGTGTTTGTGTGTCTGTGTTTTTCTGTGTTTGTGTACAGGTAGAGGCCTTGCGACGAGCTGATCACCCGCCCAAGGAGTCCTACCGAATGTTTAAGATCTAGTAAACGGAAGTGAAACGGAGAGTTTCATGGAGGTAGGCCTAGGCCCAAATTGGGGCTGTAGCGCCACAGGAAAAAAAATAAGGCAATAAATAATGAGAAAACGAAGGAGCTGCTGGAAAGAAGATCTGAGTATAGTAGTGAAGTGAGGTTGCCTGGTGGGCGGAGCCAGGAAGTACAGCGTGTTCTCTTACGTTAACATTTTAGAAAGTTGGTTATGAAACTCGACTGATACAAGTTATCCAGCATACTGAAACCTGTCATTAGCTACAGCAAAAGAATTTGCCAGAAGTAAATTATATCCAGCAAGAGAGAAAGGGAATTGTCCTTAAAATTACATAATAAAATATCCAGGATCGATAATTTCGAGTTCTTATACGAAGAAGCACGCAATGGATTAGGTCAATAAGTAACAACGTACCATATCACAGAATTGGCTCGAACCTTTAGAACTCCGACCGAATGATGCAACACTGCAAGAAAGGAACTGAAGGATACTGAACTGTTCATGAAGGTTAAAATAGAAGAAAATTGAGATATGAACAATCATTTGGTAACAAATAAAACCTTCAATGGGTAACAGCAAGTGTTCTCAAACTTTGTGATACAACAACGTCCAGAAACAGTACATGATTTCACACAGACTCTCCCTTGATATACTGTAACAGCAGAACTCTAAACAGGTTCACATCCTCTTTATGACTGAAGTAAACTACGAAATGTTTCGAAGACTGTTGGTACACTTTCCTGATGTGCCTTATTAAATATTACTAACTCCTCAAAATTATGAGTGGAAACAACTCTATTTTAAATAATTCTTGGGAACCCTGCGACCCGGGTTAAAGTAAATCGCGGGTCCTTGGGTTAGTGAACCACAGCTTGAAGAACCGTGGGCTACAGAATATTATACAACGCATTTTTGTTGAGGATATTATTTGAACTTAAGGCAGCGTCTACACGAGCGCACAAAATCAGTCCATTGCAACGAACGTACTTTATGACGGACGTTGCTGAGGACACCACACAGTTGCATAATGCGGTGCGTAGTTTTCTGTCTGCAATGGAGCCAGAAGAAAGCGCAGGGTTCGCCTCTCTTGTTTATTTCTACAAGAGACGTCACGACGTTCGCTACAACGGACACATTTTGTGCGCTAGCGTAGACGCTGCCTAAAAGAGAGAAAGTAAGAGAAGGAAGAAGAAACTGCATAATGAAGACCACCAATAAAGTTAGGGCTTGCGCACAGAGAGATGAGGTGCAAACAGGAAGCAGCAAGCATGAAGGCAACGAAAAAAAAGTACAAAAATTTAAGCTGAGATATCTGAAGCGAAAAAATTACGCTCCTCCGGATGTGACATCATGTCTTTTGGTTCTTTGGCCAACGTTTCGAAGGGACCTGCTCTATTTATCTTCAGAGTTCCTCCGAAACCTTAAGACAACGCTTTCCAGAAGACCGTAGTCTTCATATGCACCGCCATGAGAACTTCAGGTCTATTGTACTGAAGAGGAAACGCCAATTTTGAGAGCCAGGATTTGATAGAAACTTTATACAAATGTATTTTTTTATTGCTAGTGAGGTGGGAGAATGTTTGGACCGAAGAGGGATGAAGTGACAGGAGGCTGGAGAAAACTGCATAATGAGGAGCTTCATAACTTGTACTCTTCTCCAAGTATAATTAGAATGATCAAGTCAAGGAGGTTGAGGTGAGCAGGGCATGTAGCACGAATGGGGAGAAGAGGAATGCGTATAGGATATTGGTGGGAAAGCCAGAAGGAAATAGACCACTGAGAAGACCAAGGCGTAGGTGGGTGGAAAATATTAAAATGGATCTTAGATAGATAGGATGGGATGGTATGGATTGGATAGATCTGGCTCAGGATAGGGGCCAGTGGAGGGCTCTTGTGAACATGGTAATGAACCTTCGGGTTTCATAAAATGCTGGGAAATTCTTTAGTAGCTGCAGCATTGGCGGCTCCTCAAGAAGGGCTCAGCTCCATGAGTAAGTAAGTAAGTAAGTAAGTAAGTAAGTAAGTAAGTAAGTAAGTAAGTAAGTGGGGTGGTGCTAAGTCCCTTGAACTGCGGTCACTTCTGGCGTATTGTACCAGCCCCAGATGATAGGTGAGGGTGATTGTGAAGCAATTGGTGGAATGAAGATTGGCAGGGGAAACCGAAGTACTAGGAGAAAACCTGCCCCAGCGCCATTTTGTCCACCACAAATCCCACTTGACCAGATCCGGGATCGAACCTGGGCCTCCGCGGTGGGAAGCCAGCTACAAACCGCTTGAGCTATGGCGCGGCCATTATACGAATGTAAGTTTTGGTGAAATCGGACGTGAGGATACGGACCGTACTGAATGTGAATAGATACAGAGAAGCAAATAAATTCCATCATCCACAAATGAAATTGCAACACTGAGTTGATTCAGATTTTAAAATAAATATCTTACAAATGTCTAAAGACGATAACTCGATTAAGAAAATAACTTCCCAAGAACATTCTTGCATTCAGTCATATGTATATTAAGTCTGTACACAAACTCATTCATCCATTTTTGTCCCATATTTATGTAGGCAGGATAATTGAGGGACCATTTCAAGGATATAGCGGCTCCGGTCTAGAAAACCGAGATTAATGGCCGTGGGGCTTCGTTGCGCTGGCCACGCGACACCCTCTATCCGCAAAAGCTGACACTAACTTCGCCGACAAGCGGCGGGCGGTCGGTCGGTATGGTTCGCATGACGACTAAAGGCCACGGAGTTTGTTTTGTTTTTTTGTATTTGTTTAGGTAGAATTATGACAGGTTCATATATTTCAGCTTATACGGCAAGGCAAGTGATAACTACAAATTAAAAATTGCTTATTTACGGCTGAAACAACCATCCTCAAACATTTCCAGTCCCGGGACTCCCTTGCAACATACAGTAAACTGAAGAACCCCTAATTTCTCTTCACCTAACTTATCTTTAAATCAACTTAAAACAAATGATATTAAAATATTCTAATACCTGTACCATGCTTACAAAATATTCAGTACCTATTACAACACATTTTCTTACCTCAATCATTTACTGACAAAAATGACTGGGTCACAGATACCCGTACACAATTTCGAGTCCAAAATATTTGTTTTACCATTATTTCAGATAAAGAGATTTTGTAAAATATAAAACACGTTCAGAAAATATTTTTGCTTTTAACTTATAATATGAAGAAAAAAATAATCTCGCGGACCCCTTGTGGTCCGTGGACCACACTTTGAAACTCACTGGGCTGCAGGTTGTCAACACCAGCCCTATCTCCCTCGATGATTAGCATCCCTTTTCCTTTGCCGCTGTCCAAAACACATACCGTGTTTTCAGACCTGGCCTGTGGGTTGTACATTGAGGAGAAACATGGAAAGAAGAAGGGAGGAAGAGATCGCAGCTGCATAGTGGAGGGGGATAAGGTGACGCACTGTAACTAAGACGCACACATCACGCAATTCTTATCTCATTTAGTGGGCTCCACCAAATCAACTGCGGATTGTCATTGAAAACGGCCAGGTTTAAATATATGGATGTTACCGGCAGCTGCTTTCCACGTCTGGAGGTAGCTCCTAGTGTCGAAGGACACCCAACAGGGCAAGCACAACACAGTCGGATAGCTCAAGCTGCTAGGTGTACCTGTTTGAGCGTGCCACAAGTGTGTTCCAGCTCGCGAGGCACGAAACTTGTATTGGAATGTAGTTGAACTCGGGATGGGACACTGTGTCACCATGGGCACGCCATCCATCACCGGAGTCTCCTTCTGCGGCTGGCCCCGCCAATGGATTCCAAACCCCTGTCCCGGCACCCGATTGACGACATCCACCAACAATATGTCGTTCTCACAAACCTGGAACACAGTATCGTTGTTACAGGACGTTCCGTGCTATTGCTTGCAGCAGCCTCCATATGCAGATGGGTATCACTTCTAGCTCTCTACAGCGACATCTGTAAATAGACGTGACCTTCGGTAGATGGGAGATTCTTAGATTAATCGTGACCAAATTTTGGGGGGATTGGTTGGAACTCTTTAGGTGTTCTTAAATGCTTCTGGGGAGCTCGAATATCCGATTTTGTCTTCATGAGAATGCATATAGTTCCGCGCAAGTCACTTTCCTTTTCTGGATTTATCGTATCCGGACGGAAGTTTAATTATACGAACACAGAAAATAACGAAGTATAGTTTTGTGCTTCTTTAACTTCTAAGCTCTCAGTCGGAGGGAAAGAAACAAAATATCTACTTCTAGGATTTATTCTTCTCATAATTCTGCCAAAAATCTTCTACATTTGTTAATATTGTCCCATAATATTGACCGCCTCTGTGGTCTAGTGGCCAGAGTTCCCGGCTACACATCCAGATGCCCCGGGTTCGATTCCCGGCGCTACCAGATCTTCTTAGAAGTAGTGGGTCTGGAACGGGGTCCACTCAGACTCGTCAGTATAATTGAGGAGTTATTTCAAGGAAATAGCGGCTCCGGTCTATAAAACCGAGATCAACGGCCGTGGGGATTTGTTGCGCTGACTACGCGACATCCTCTATCCGCTAAAGTTGGCACTAACTTCGCCGACAAGCGGCAGTCGCTTGATCGGTATGGTTCGCTTGCGGACTACAGGCCATGGAGTTTGTTTTTTGTTTGTTCTATAATATTTAAATTTTGAAACACGCTCAAGTGATGTAGCTGTTATACGCAGTTACATATTACACGACTTCGATGCTGGTATTTGTTTCGCGTCGTGTTCATATATTCAGTTCTATACACGCTGGCCTGCAGGGGAATTCCTAAACTACTAACTCCTTTGCTACCTGTTGACAGCGGCAACGAGGGTAAAAGTTGGAAGTGCAAAAATAACAAGAGACAACATGACATCAGCGTCCAAATGTAGAAAACAAGATCTTAAACGTCTGAATAGCGTCTAGTTTTGCTCCTTCTGAAACCTCATGATGAAGATGCATTGAGATGGCCCTGCTTGGAATAGACAGCTGGAATATTGAACCTAATTAATGCATATTCATGTTATTTCATTGTCACACGCCGTGGAATATGTTTGCGAATTTTATTTGAACAGTTTCAAGATGAGAAGAAATCATCGATAAACTAGAGATCCAGACAATAGATGCAGTCTCAAGTTTGAACCTCTTTGCTACACAGTCGGAGGTACTGATACGGAAAGACCTGTCCCTGTAACAGGCCGTGGAGGCCCATAGGGTTGTGAGACGTTGAGGCTCCCATATTTTGTAGACAATCCCCTCACAGATGGCAGTGAATTTGTCAGCCTTATGCGCCGGTCGCCCTTTGACAGCAGAAAAATTTCTGGTACTTATTTCAGATATAGGCTGAGTCGACCCCAAGGCCATAATGCGGCTGGAAGGATTAGGTAATTGAAAAAAATATGTTGACCTCATCGGGAATGGAACCCGCGACCTTCCGGCTTGTAGCATAGTGCCTCAATCCACTACGCTACGCCCGACTGCCAACATATATTCATGTGAGACTGTATCACCTCGAAATTGTCTTTAAAAGAAATAAGCATTTCGTAGTCACTTCTTTTCGTCAACGGTAGCCGTTTAGTACGGTGAATAAAATTAATTCTTATTGCTGTAACATCGCCTTCCAAATTATTGTTAGTCATACACGTCCTGTATTTTGAAGGGGTTCCTAAAAAAATATTCTCATTACAGGCTTGGCAATCTAGTTTTCTTTTTTTTTCTCTCAAATTCTTGGGGTGGGGTGAGACAGTCCCCTTGGCACCGCCGCCACTACTGGCCTACTGTACCAGCCCCAGAGGACGATGATGATGATAAGTGCAGAGTAGTCAGTGGAATGAAAATTCGCAGGGGAAACCGAAGTACTCGGAGAAAACCTACCCCAGCGCCACTTCCTTCACCACAAATTCCACATGAGGTGACCTGAGCTCGAACTCGGGCTACCGCGGTGAGAAGTCGGCGACTAACCACCTCAGCTATAACACGGACCATTGTCCCTCTAAGCAAACACATATGCACATGCGCATTGGTCACATAATTGTGTTTAACCTCGCACAAATAAAAATACAAGAATCCTAAAATGTTAACATATGTTTTTCGTTGCCTCCAGCCCAATAGCTTTGGCAGAGATATGAATAGACATTAAATTTTGCGAAGGTCGGGTATGGGGACACAATCCGACTTGCGAGGATAAGGTGTTACTTCATTGAGCGCCATAAGCAAGTGAAAGAATCCTAAAATAAGATCCTTAAGGCAAAGCCAAATTGAACTTCTTGTAACCTAAGTACCCTCTGTGAGAATTTCGAAAGTCCTTTCTTGTCATATAAAATGAAGAAAAAGAATTTATAAAGTACTTTCTGTGCTGAACTAAATGCAAACAATTTTGAATTCACTGAAGTCCATTTCTGAAATCGAGGCGTCAAATGTTGACCTTGCCGGGCCTTAGGATCGAGATGCCATTGTAGGCTTTACTAAAAGGGAAAGGTAGTTCTAATTATCATCGGCACAAATGTTGTTCAGTGTTCTTCCTCTTCATATCAGAGTATCGAACGTCATGAATCCGATAATTAGGAAGGCAGGCACCATTTCAAACGCGTAGATAACCACCGATTTAATGTCACTGATTGTCCACCGCCACAACAGAGAGTAGGAAGGGGTAACTGAAAATCGAAATAAGGCATGCTCCGAGAAGGGGAGCTAAGTCAGAGTGGACTATATTTCCGCGAATTTGGAACAGTTTCAATCATGAAGCAAGCCAAAGGAGAGGCACATTCAAAGGGGCACACAAGCCGCAATACGAAGACAGGAAAAGAGCAGACATTCTCAACACACCAAAACTGAGAATATTGAAAACGTACATCAACGAGTACAATTGGTATAAGCAGGCACAGTGCATTGGGTTCCATCAAAATATGTTGCCTGAAGATGGCCCTGTGAGGCCGAAACCTGTAGCCATAAAATATATATACATGTTTTAATGACCTTTTAAATACATTTTAACTGATATTTTAGTGAGTTGAATGTAAAATAAAATAAAATATAAAAGTGTGTTACACTATAGACGGAAGGGAAATTGTATGAGTGATAATTCAATACAACAGGAAGCTGAAATATAATATAAAAAATAAATCTTTACTTTGTTTTCCTTGCGGTCTTTTCGGCTAATAAAGTAATGAAATATCAACTCACAGAAAAGGGTAAGCCCTTCCTGATTGGAGAAACTTTCTCCAAAGATAAAGGATCACAAGAACTGCTCTCATTACAGCGTTAAATTATTTAAGAGGAAGTCAATGGAAGGACACGTTATTGATGATGACAATCAACAAACAGGAAGGCAAAAATCTCGATAAGTTTTCGTTTTGCAGCCCACCATTTTTGTGCAAAGTACTATTCGACATTTACAAAATTCAGTCATAAAATGTGAAGTCCGGAAGCTCAGGGTCTTTCTTGCCTAAAATTTCAAAACGAGTTTTTGGCTTGGTGCACAATAACGTTCGAGACGACGTCGTTCCTAAAATTAAGACAACAAAATAATTTTCGTTGTTGTTTGCTTGTGCCCTTGATGATGCTCACGAGGAGCGGAGGAGTGAAGCAACTGGGTACGATATGGCAGTATTACCAACAGAAAGAGAGTTCTGCACACTTGACTCATGCCCATGAAGAGGTGGTAGAGGAACGTAACCACAGACATTAGCTACTACTGCAGGGGAATAACTTGAAAGAATGCAGTGCTGGTTGTTATAGCAGGACACTTGATAACCCGACTGAGGGTTTTCGTGGGTTTCCTCAGTACATCCAGGAAAAATTCGGTGTAGTGTCCACATTAGGCTAAGAGCTGATGCTTCAAAATCTTTTCTAATTCATAATTTATTGATCATCCTACCATTCTGTGATATCTAATCCCGATACCGGTAGCTCCTTTAATTAAACCATAAAGACAAAATGTGAGACGCTAAGGCTATGACAGCGCACACCGCCAATAAAAACCCTGAATGATGGACACAGCAGGATTCAGTCATAACATTACTATCTTGAAGATAAATTTTTGTTCTCATTACCACCAGTGGGAACAAATTTTCACATATTGTTTTCTGCGCACAAATGCCTTCTCACCTGTATGACTGGCCCTGGCATCTGTCGGTTGGCTGTGAGTAGCCCTCTCTGGAATCCATCAGCCGTGACACAGAACTTCCTGAAGCAATCGGAAGCATTGTGTGGACAGTTACCGCACGACCTGCCAGAACAAGAACGGGAGCCCATGGAGACTGCAGCAGACACTCACATGTAATAATATAACGACACGCGGTAGCGTAGTTGCTTGAGGCTCTATATTACAAGCGGGAAGGTCTCGGGTTCAATTCCCGATGTCATTGAATTTTCAATTGGCCTAATTTTCCCAGCCGCACCATGTTCCTGGGATTGACTCAGCCTCTGACAGAAATGAATACCAGGAATCTTCCTTAGGTTAAAAGCTGTCGGTGTGTAAAGCTGACAACCCCACCGCCATCTGCGAGCCAACTGTCTGAAAAATGTGGGACCCTCGAAGTCTCACAACCTTATGGACCTCCATGGCCCGTTACAGGGACAGCTTTTCATTTTTTTTTTGTACCCTCAGCTATTGACACATGAGAATATCACAAGCAAAAGTCACGTAAATCACCGGTTACATCCTTCTATTAGTAACAGGATGATGTATTATGATATTGACATGTGACGTAATGAATGTACAAGGGGTGGACCCTCCCGGCCCCCGCACAGCGACCACAGAGAATATTTCATTTGCGCCACTCATAAAGCAGCCCCCGTCTTGTGCCGCTGCCTTCACTGAAGTGGACTGCATTTGTCTAACATGTTTTCACTTTCTTTCAGTAGTCCCGCCTAATTTAAATTTTCGTTTGCCGTCTTTTATGCTTGTAAAGGAAACTTTCCTTTTGCTGCACATAATTCACACACACTGCCTAACGGAACCGGGATAGAGTAGTCTGTACTGCGATTGGTTACGGGCTGGACGACCAAGAGGTCGAAGTTCGAGTCTCGGTAGGGCCAAGAATTTTATCTTCTCCACGTCGTGCAGACCGGTACTGGGGCCCACCCAGCCTCCAATCAAATGGGTATTAGGGGCTCTTTCCCAGTGGGTAAAGCGGCCAGGGCGTGAAGCTGACCACTCGCCTCCACTTAGTGCCGAGGTCAGAAAAATGTGGATCTACACATTCACTCCCCCATACACCTACATGGAGTAGTGCTTAATTAGTTAAGCACCGGTACAAAATTGCCTTATCTTTATTCACTGGCTATTGTACGTACCACTTACATTGAACTCCTTTACCATGGAATGGCACCGTATCCTCTGGGTTTTATACCGAAAAACACTAGAAAACTAAGTTGCATTGCCTGAAGTCATCTAAGACACAAGTCACACAGACTACTGTTGTTTTTAGTAATATTTTCTATTGCTAGTGTGGTGGGACTAAGTCCCTTGTACTGCGGCCATTTCTGGCCTATTGTACCAGCCCCAGATGCTAGGTGAGGCTGATTGTGGAGCAATTGGTGGAATGAAGATTGGCAGGGGAAACCGAAGTACTAGGAGGAGACCTGCCCCAGCGCCACTTTGTCCACCACAAATCAAACTTGACCAGACCTCGGGATCGAGCCCGGGCCGCCACGGTGGGAAGCCAGCGACTAATCGCTTGAGCTATGGCGCGGCCCCTTTTGTTCTAGTAACAGGGAGCTATCGTTGAAGACAGATATTAGCCTGTAAGTTAGGTCGTTTCTCTACCAACCAGCTACTTTGTCAAAGGGGTAATTACATAGTTACTCATTTAGTCAGTCAGTCCTCTTCTATAAAGCATACTGATGCTCAAAGATGCATTAGATATATAATATTTATTCCAATCACATTTATAAATTCACATGCTCTAAGTGGACCCTGTTTAATGATCTCGCGAGTTTTAGTGACTAAGACGCGGGGTTGAATTGGTGAATCGTTTTATTGAATATTCACTAGTTATCACTACAAATAATTGTAACAGTTCCAAGATTCCTGTAATTATAACACACACGTCAGGTCTTCCATGCACTTTTCTTGTAAGCACTCTGCATTAGTCTCTCAATTGTCTTGTGCTCTCCTGAACTCTCCACACACACACTCTAACTCTACCTTAAACAGATATTCGTTATAGAGGTGACGCATGGCTAACACAGAAAACAAGTCACGTGATAGTACTGTTGCAGTGTGACGCCATTGCGCCTGCGTGGAAATCTCTTTACTGAGCCGTTGCCAAGAAGCGAGTAGCGTAACCTCCACACGGGTATCCCAAATGAATAAGTTTGAGTCTGAGTCTTATGTTACAACCGACGGTCAGTCGGTCAGTCTGTCTTGGAATAAAGCACCCACCCGCGGCTTACGGCCAGATTTTTATTACTGTCAGTCAGTTGCAGCATTGTTGATGTGGAGGGCTCTCCGTGACGAGAAGACGGGTCTGTCGTTCACAAATGCTGCTGGTCCTCGCTAGCGCAGTCATTTCTCGGGTCAGAGTCGCGTGGGACTCGCAACCATATTCTACTCTCTCAGATTCGAGACTTTCTTTTTCGTCGCCTCCTACGACTCGCAGGGCTACTGCATAGGTAATCGATCCCGCTTCCATACGGGATTGTGATGAATGAACCAATTACATGTCCTCCTATTACAACTTCGGTGCGAACCGAACAGAGATCACCAAATCTAACAGTTCCTCTATTGTTATCTGATGATCCGTTTATTGCAGAAACGTGTGTTAATTTCGTATCAACAGTCTGGTTTTTACAAGCTTATCCATTGCTACTGATACGTGCCTAAGGAGCCGTTGTCTAGCAACGGACTATTCCGGCTTTCAGGTATCATGTCACAATAGTGTAACTTAGGCCTATATAACTTCTATAAACACCATTAATAACATTCTTTATGTCAAAAGCAGAGCTGTGCAAATGTAACTTCGTGCCCGGCTCACGTTATTACAGACCGCTTTTCCTTGGGTTACATGTTTTTAAATTTATCTCTTTAAAATTACGTCAAATAATTCACAATATTTATAAAAAACAATTCACGTTCAGTTCAACTATTTACTGAGCACCTGCTTGTAGCGTTTATAAAAATAAATATACATCTAAGCAACATCATGGAGCAGAGTCCTTGAGGATGAAGCTGAAGTTTGCATTGCAGTATTCACAAGAACTCGTATACTGAGACACTTTAATCCAGTCCGCAGCTTTACAGTCTGTTTTATAAGACCAATTTTTGTGTTATCCTCTAACAGCTAGCAAGTTTGCCCAAGTGGTAAGGATTCTTACTTGTATTCCAGAGATGCCCTTTCGAAACTTGCCTTCGAAACCGACAGTACAGAAGTTTTCGTTTTATTATACAGCACAATTCGTCAAATTAGGCCACGATCTTTTGCTTCTACATCTTTTCAAATTCATTATTCATTAATCAGTCTCTCATTCGACACTACACCAATTGCCTGAGTTACTAAGGGTGTCACTGAATAAAGTACAAGTAAATACAGTACATACACAAGTAAATTAACCCCCCATCTATGCTTATGTTCTTCACGTGGTCTCTTCTCTTGTAGTATATTTCTCGACAACTCCTTCTCCTTCATTTTTCTTTTCCTTGACACTACAGCCCCAGTGGGCCTAGGCCTACCTCCATGAACTTCCGTTCACTTCGGTTTTTCTAGATCTTACACAGACGGAAGGACTCCTTGCGAGAGTGATCAGCTCGTCGCAAGGCCTTTACCTGTAGACAAACACAGAAAAACGCATACAAACATCCATGCCCTGAGTGGGATTCGAACCCACCATCCCGGCTTCCGAGCGGGCGAAGACAGTGCATGCTTTAGACTGCTCGGCTACCGTGACCGGCTCTCCTTCATTTGACCACTTGAACAATATTTGTCAAAGAATACTTATCATAAATTTTCGTTTTATTTTCTTGGGGTGGAATGAAAATGAGTCGACTTGGTACGTCGGCCACTAACTGACCTATTGTACCAGCCACGGACCATAGATTATGAGTGTGGAGCAGTCAGTGGAAAGAGAATTGGCAGGGGAAACAGATGTACTCGGAGAAAATCTGCTCCAGTGCCACTTTGTTCACCACAAATCTCACATGACCTGATCTATGACATAAGCAAGACCGCAGCGGTGGGTACACGGCGACTAACTGCCTGAGCTATTGCACGGCCTAATCACGAAGTTACTATTTGCAAAATTTTATTCACCCACCTACTTCTTCATTCCTGTAAAGTCCAAATATTCTCCCCAGATTGGAGAGCCGTGTGTTAGCAGCAAATTAATATGTTAATAATAACCATTCACATTAAAAAATTAAAAAAAAATAACACAAAGTTCTGGTACCGAAGCAGAGACCTACCTACTGAATGTCTGGTAGACTTCAAGTGTCAATTTAATCCGACAGATCATCGGCCAGTCGAGTTCTTTGCACGGCCTTTCGCAGGAAGCGAAGTCCGGATCTGAAAGTGTAAAAGTTACAAATTTAAATTATAAACAGATATGATCTGGAAGTATAAGTTAAATGTTAGTGGGCACTACTATAGGCAACATAATAATTTAATGTATGGCTCAAAATCCTTCATGAAAGTCTGATAATTGTTCAGCTAGTCAAGGAACTGTTCTCCTTTCATGGAACCCGAATGTTCATAAGGGCCCGTCGCTGAACCCTATCCTGAGGGGATCACACACAAATGTCCTATCTCTTATGAACCATTTTAATATTACGAGGGATATCCAGAAAGTAAAGATACAATCCCGGTAAATATGCATGGGCGATTTTTTCTTCCAGAAATGGCAGTGCTGCCGTGTGAGATAGGAACCGTATGACAGGGCTGAGTTCACCGGCCAGAGTCACGGCAACGTTGTGCTCGCACTGTGTGTTTAAAATGGCCGTGTCGGTTCCAAATCCCGCCAAAGGTAAGGTTCGTGCAGTAATTCGATTTCTTCACTCGAAAGGAGAAACTGCCGCTGAAATTCATCGCCAGCCTGTTTCTATTTACTGTGAAGATGTGAACAGACAAAATGTGGCAAAATGGTGTCGTGAATTTGGGGCGGGAAGAAGTGATGTTCATGATGAAATAAGGAGTGGAAGGCCATCCATTGTCACTGATGAAACAATCCAAAAACTGATGAAAACTTTCGTGCTGACGGGCGTTTAGCCATCGATGTACTTCATCAACAGTGTCCAGAAGTTTCGAGAACTGTTCTTCATGACCATGAGATCAGGCGGGAGATTTACGTGACGCTGGAATAAAATAACTCGTTCCCAGGCTCAGTAAGTGCATTGCGATCCATGGTGACTATGTTGAAAAGTAAGGAATGCTGTGTTGTAAAGGTGCTACAAGTCAATCCTCAAAAATAAACGATTTACAAATATTTTTTTGGACTTTGTATCTTTACTTTCCGGATGTCATTCTTACAAATTCGTCTAAGACCAGTCCTCCCAAATGATCTTTTCCCATTCGACATTAATTTACTCGAAATCCGTCCGTCCACACAGTGCTGATATGTTGAATTTGGGTACACATACAGAAGACATACGGTAGTTAGTTNCTTCCCCCATCTATCAGAGGCCTTAGAGACTATTGTTGGGCGGGAAACGTCCTGGAATTTGGCTCAGTGATCCCCTTTGGGGATATGAGGTTCTTTTACGTGCCGTAAAGTTACGACACGGGACACACAGCTTAAAGTCCCTCCCGGAGGACTTGTTCCCTGAATTTTTCCGCCCTTAAAAATTGGACGACCTCCGCCGGGTATTTGAACCCTCGTACTACGAGTCATGAGGTGGGAACGTTACCTCTAGACTACGGAGGCCGCTTTAAGACATATGGTAAGCATAGGGCCATATAATGTCTCATTACTTCGGTAACAGGAGTCGAGCTTGAATCTTCGAAAGAGGGATATTGACAACAACTGGTATTCAATTTGAAGTTCTCAGACAGATGAATGTGAACACTGCTACCTTTGAGATGTAAGGCCCTGCAGTACTAGGAAGCTCTTCATAGTATCTGTGGAAGAAAATGCCTCCATTTTCGGAGTCGAAGAAAAAGCCAGGAAAGAAACCAGGAAGATGTTTGCAGTTTATGGAGTGAGTTTGAAAGAGACATGGGCTCGAAGCACTTACACCCCGTTGTGAATGCTTGTATGCCATGGTAACTCGCAAGGTAATTCAGAAAACGTCTAGGTGCCTTCGCGTCGTGGCTGCAGAGACATCATTCCTGTACTTTCCAATGAATGCAAATCTCACGGCCAGCAGCCTTACTATAGTACAAAAACAAGACTAAAATGTTGTGGTCATGAACAGAGCAATAGCGTGGAAGTAGCAGACCACAACACACACACAAGAAAGTGATAATCTAAACGGTTTTAAGATTTTTCTGCCTTTTACTGAAATAAAGTTTTCACGACGGGATCTTGAGAACTGCCTGTCTCAATGGGCTCCATTGTTCGCGTCCTACGTTTTCTGTAACAACTTCTTCTTCAGTCACAAGGTGTGAATGCTTTCAAAGCAGTCCTGAGGTTCGAAATATAAGCTGTTCTATCCATCTACTCCTACGTCTTCCTATGTCTCTTCATCCTCCTTCAGCATGTGTATACTCGTAAGTCATTTCAGTGGCCCTGTCTTCTTATATTTGAGGAGCTTCATAACTTGTACTCTTCGCCAAGTATAATTAGAATGATCAAGTCAACGAGTATGAGATGGGCAGGGCATGTAGCAAGAATGGGGAAGATGAATGCATATAGGATATTGGTGGAAAATTCAGAAGAAAAAAAACACTAGGAAGACCAAAATGTAAGTGGGTGGATAATATTAAAATGTATCTCAGAGTTGTAGGATGGGGTAGTATGGACTGGATTGATCTCGCTAAGGATGTGGACCAGTAGAGGGCTTTTGTGAACACGTTAATGAACCTTAGGGTTCCATAAAACACTGGGAAATTCTTGAGTTGCTGCACAACTGGCGGCTTCTCAAGAAGGGTTCAGCTCCATAATGTTAGTTAGTTAGTAAGTTAATTAGTTAGTTATTAGTCAGTCAGTCTTCTCATATATTATCTAGATGCTATATTCAACATAAAATGTAATACTTTAAATTATAATATAAGTTTACACTTTACTCCTTTTTCCTTCCGTTTGCAACAAGTTACAATTTTGAGGCAGTATGCTACAAGCCAGAAGGCCGCGGGTTCGAGTCCCGATAAGGTGCATTTTCTGAATTGACCTAATTCCTCCAGTCGTACTACGGCCCTGGGGTCGACTCACCCTCTAACAGAAATGAGTACCAGGAATCTTTCTGGGGAGTAAAAGGCATCCGGAGCATAAGGCTGACAACCTTACTGCGATCTGTGGACCGATTGTCTAGAAAATGTGGGAGCCTCGACGTCTCACAATCCTATGGGCCCTTCACGGCCTGTTAGAGGCATAGCTTTACCTTTTTCTTATACCCAGTGAGGATCTCAGAAGCCGCATACACGTACTGCACTCCTGAAAGGAAATACTTTCTATGCAGTATCCTGTACCTTAATAGAGAATTCCTTCCCATTTCGGAAATGTTACCTATAGCAAGTGCGTGATTGACCCCAGGGCATGCCGAATGTTGATGATCGTCCCGCCTGCCTTACTCTGATACCAAGGAAATGTCATCAATATAATCAACACAACTATATAACATTAGTAGTGTTTACTTATACCCACTACATATTTCGACCGTAAATATTAATATACGAGTATAACTTAGTAATAATTTTAACACAGCTAAACCAAAAATAAAACAATAAGGTACACATTCAAAATATGCATCTCAATATAGCCGCATTCTCAGACAGAACATTACATTTAAATTAATTTTATTGCCTGCATATTCTCTCACGGTGTACGTGTGAAATTAAATCCAGGATTGCCATGGCAAAAGCTGCATATAGCAAGAAGAAGAATATTTTTACCAGCAAATTGAACTTAAATTTGAGAAAGAAACTAATGAAATGCTACATTTGGAGCATAGCTCTGTATGGGGCTGAAACTTTTGACACTTAGGGCAGTAGATCAGAAACACCTTGAAAGTTTCGAAATGTGGTGTTGGAGAAGGATGGAGAAAATCAATTGGACCGATTATGTGAGAAATGAGGAAGTGTTAATTAGAGTCAGTGAGCAGAGGAATAGCCTACACGAAATAAGAAAACGGAAGGCTAATTGGATTGGTCATATCTTACGCAGAAACTGCCTTCTAAAAGAAGTTATTGAAGGAAAGATAGAGGGGCGGATAGAAGTGACAAGAAGACGAGGAAGAAGACGTAAGAAGATGCTGGATGACCTTGGGGACAGAAGAGGATATTTTCATTTGAAGGAGAAAGCTCTAGATCCCATTAAGTGGAGGAACTGTTTTGGAAGAGACTGTGGACCTGTCATCTTGACAGATTACTGATGACTGAACGAATATTCTCCCGTTTATTCTTATATACTTCACTATTTGACCGTATGACAGACATCCAATTGGATATTGCTCATGAACAAGAGACCCATGTTGTACTGCAATGTATCGACTCACAATTCACATGATTGATGTTCAAGTGCGTCTATCATCTGAAGATGACTCGGAAATACGGTGGAAACATGTAGCGGTTAAGAACATACACTATTAATATTATATAAGTCTGTTGATGGCACTGCAAGAACCGTGACAACTGACGTCAGCAGTGGGACTGGATAGCACTGATTCAGTCGAGCTGAAGCAAGATGGATGCCTGGCTAGAAGAAATGAAGGCCATACAAGTAAGGATGGAAACAAAGATAGAGGCCAATAACGAGAATTTTGAAGTACTTCAAGGTACCCTCGTCTCCCGGATGGATATCCACTAAGCCAGGACAGATGTCATGCAAGGAAAAGGAGGACGCCAACCTAAAGCCGGTGAAAGTCGGCCACGAAGAGATAAGGGCCTGGAGAAAAGAGATTAAGACCTGCCTACAAAAGACGGAGACCTGTCTGGAGACTAAGGAGCCGACCCCAGAGGATAGGGCGAATGCTGCGGAAAATGAGTGTTAAGACAATATGGAGGAGCCGGCCACCGCCCAAGCTAAAGAAGAGGCTATTGCAGCTTAAGGGTCAGAGATGTAGGAGCACCAGCCACTCATGGAACTTTTGCCTGCAGCGCTCAGGAAGGAACAAAGATGATGGCAGTACACCTGGACAAGCTCCCACTTTTTTCAGGGAACCGCTCGGGACGAGAAGCCTTAAGGAGAGAGCAGCGGGAGCAGTTGCTAAGTAACCGAGCCACAGGTAGGAAGGTTAGGCCGATCATTGAAGTCATAAACACAGCCCTCGGGACCAATGTGTCATGTATACTCGTTTCTAGGCAACGACTGCGAAATAAACTGCTATAAAATAGCTCTGTAAATTATTGTCGTTTTTAGGTAACTGCGGCAACAGACACGCACGCAACAATATAAGATCTGCTTAAAGAGGTGT